ACCACACACACACTCCCGTGCAGTTGCTATCCTTTCCGCTGCTTTGCGATATATACATAAGAAGTCGGACCTCCCCGTTACCTTTCTTCCCCATATATCTATACCACAAACAACTCTTCCTCCTCGAACTTTACTTCCTCCCATATTTTGTTCCGTTTTTTGAACGTCTGAATCTCTCATCACACCGCTTGCCCAGAAGGAGAGAAAGAAAGAGGGAAAGGCGATTGCTTGAGGCGGTTCGCACAGGGACATATAACTCGAGTTCCTGGAATCATATTTTCCTGTACACAACCCTTACCATCGACAACCCCTACGATACACGCCTCAGTTTTGAATCGGGCCTATTACACACCACAGCTTGGGTTTTCCTCTTTGCCGACATCGGGAAAGCCACAAATAATCTGTTATATTTATTTGCCAGCATCAATTACACAACGCTAGAGAAAAGAGAGGGGGAGATAGAGAGCGAAGGGTAGACTGGGCATAGAAATCGGAAGGGGAGCTGTATAATTGAGTCTTTTGGGGGCTAGAGATTGATTGATTCCTGCTCGGAGCGACTACAATTGCGAGATTGAGAGAGTTGGCAGATTGGATCGAGAGGGAAGGAAGAGATAGAGAGAGAGAGAGAGAGAAAAGGAAAGTGAGATTGGAAGGTTGAACACAGCATTGCATTCGCATTCGCATTCCATTTTCCAACAGCTTTAGCTTCACCCTCTTTGGGCGCCGCCCTGTTTCTATTTTATTTTCCTGTCAAGCAGCAGCGGCGGCAGCAGAGGGCAGAAGAGGCAGCAGCAGCCTAGCCCAGAAACAAGACTCACGCATCTCCGTCATTCACAGAGAGCAGGCAACCCTCTTTTGCCGCTCCAACCACGCACCTCATCCCACCCACAATCCCAACCTCGTGCACACACACCCAATAATTATTGAAATAATACCTGCGCTTCTCGCCGGCACCCACCAAGCCTGAGCACCACCCCTCTCCCCTCCCCCACCCTTCACCACACACACCACACCCACACCACCGAACGCAGCGCTGACAACGCTGCCTGTCCGCCGCCGCTCGGCACAGACCCTCCAATCCATCCTCGTGGCGACCACCGACAGCCTCCTCTACCAGCACGCAAATCATGCGGAAGCCCTGCTATCGAAACTCCGCATTTCCACCCTTGGGGCGAGCACCTTTGAGCCGACTCCCTATAACCCCCGCCCGCTGCCGCCAGACATGAGCTCTCCCTTCGCCTCGCCTCCTCCACCATACACTCCCGAGCACCCGCACGTGATACTCGACCACGAAAAGATACCACGAGAAGGCGCGCCCCCGCCTCCACACCCTCTAGTCGATCCTGCCGGACACGCTGCCGCGAACACTCACTCTGTAAACATGTCTAGCACGAAACCCCTGGGCCTACGCGCCAATGACAAGGACATCTTCCACCTGCCCCCGAGCACCGCTCTCACCCTGCTCTCGAGGAGCATCGAATTGCTGGTCTCCATAACCGGCGACGTCCCTCCCACCCCGCCCGCCAGTGGCCCTTCCACCCCCGACATGGAGGAGGAACTGCACCCCACGGCTATCGACAGCCATCGTGATGGTGCTGGCTTCTCTTTCGGCAGTGCGGTGCAGGATGGTCTCGACGGTGTCGTTTTGAAGCACAGGAGGGACGAGTTCAGCGATGATGACGACATCTCGGACGGTGGTGAGGAAATGAAGATAATTGGAGTTGGTGCAAAGGGTGCCTTTCAGAATGGCGCAATCACACGAAAGTTCTGGTCCAAAGCTGCTCCGGGCATTTCCATTGAAGATTATCTCTTCCGGTCAGTTTTGATTGCCGCTTCTTCCGCCCCTTCCCTGCAGAGAGCCGTTTTTCCTGTGCGGTTCTGAGCCCGAAGGGGAGGAAAAGAGGGGTGAAGTGGAGGCTAACTGGTTTGTTTCATTTAGAATACACCGTTTCTGCCCTTTGAGCACGGCAGTCTACCTCGCAGCCTCGGTCTATCTCCACCGCCTTGCTGTCACGGAGCGAATAATCCCCATAACCCGACTCAACGTCCACCGTCTGCTCCTCGCCGCTCTCCGCGTCGCCAGCAAAGGCCTGGAGGATATGAGCCATCCACACAAAAGGTTCGCAAAAGTAGGGGGATTAACCGAACTAGAGCTGAGTAGGCTCGAAGTCAGTGAGTTTAACCCCCCATTTTTTTCTCAGGGCTTTCACTTTTTACTCCACTTTGCTTGTCTGTGTGGGAAAGTAGTGTGTTAATGTCGATTTTTTTCTTCTAAAGGTTTCTGCTTCCTTATGAATTTCGACCTAAAGGTCGACAAGGCCGCTCTGGAGAAGCACATGGAATCCCTGCGGGAAACGGCGAATCGCCAGGCTTCGCTGGGCACCTCCGGACTTGTATTTCCAGCTACTCCGCCAAAGGAGTCCTCCATGGCTGGCATGGGGAAGATCAAGATGATGGTTAAACCCGTCATGTTGGATGTATAAAAGGGAAAGACTACCAAAAGAAAAAAACCGAAAAAAACCGAAAAAAAAACCTCTCCTTTCTCCTTTTTCATCTCTGTTAACGAGCGGGAGTTCTTTTCTTTCTTTCCTTCTTTACTTTCGTTTTTTCTCTCCATATCTGGCATATTCAAGGTGGCATATACCCAACCCAGCAAACTAACCATTACCCCCCATTACCTAATCCAAACCAACCTCACTCCTACATTCCTCTCCTCCTCCCCCCGTCCTAAGATCCACCCCATCCATCCCAATTCACTTTCTCCCATCAAATCATAATGTAGTTGTACGAACTTTTTTCTCTTCTTTTTCTTCCCATCTTTCATATCATTTCCATCATCCATTTCACTTGATCGCCATCTCCATCATAGGACCCGGGTATCTTGGCTATTTTTTTCTTCCTTCCATCATCTCATTTGTCGGTTGGGGTCATCAGGTTGGGGTTTGCTTATTCTTTTTTGTTGACAATCTATCCATCTTTCCACCTTGGCTCATATCATACTTTTTTTATTTTAAACTTTTGCTTGCTCACTCTCTGGAATTGGACCAGATTATTGTGGAGGTTGCGCACGCTCCGCAGTTCGGGGAGGCGGGGGTATAGTAATTGTTAAGATTAGAAATATTACAAGTATGAATTTAGTCTGGCAATTTGTTCGATCCTGGTGGGTTTTATCGTTTGCTCATCACTTTTCTTTTTTTTTCTTTCTTCCTCTGTTTGTTTTTGTTTTTGCTTTGTGAAACGGCGGTTGAGGGCGACAAACAAGACAAAACAAACTATCAAAATGCCGGCCGGTTATGGTATGATAGGTAGGTAGGTAAGGTGGGCGGGCAGGTGGACTTGGTTGCATAGCCTTGTGCTTGTTTTACGGTATCATATCATACTTTCTTTATTGATTTCGGCGTTTTTGTCGGCCTTACGATTGACTGGAATGCCTGGCCGACAGACCGACCGGTGGAAGGCAAGGTAAGTAAGTAAATAGGAACCAAAACCTTCCCGCCAAAAGTGGGATGGGAGGGGGAGAGGAAAAGGGGAGTTGGTTACCATGCACCACAAACGGTGAAACACCCACCTCCCACTTCCATCGAACCTACAGAACAAATACATTTCATAAAGAAAAAAAAAAATGGCAAAAGCCGTTTTGGAATCCTTTCCCATCCATCCCCCTTTTCCTCCACTCCCACTCTCCTTAACATACACGACACGGTCAATACGAGTGCAATAGGGGCCAGCCTGTCGGTATGTTAGTCGGCTATAATATATTATATAATACCTACAACGGCCCCGCCCAGCGAATCAAACGGCCATCCATCCATCCATCCATCCATCCATTGGGGATGTTCGCACTGAAGCTTTTTTGCACGCAAAATGGTACGGTACTGTATTCGAATGAAATAATTATAATAGTAGCGTATTGTACTGCACTGCACTGTACTCGTACTGTACATTGCTACCCATCCTTTCCTCCATCATGTACTTGTATAGAGCACTATCTATCTATCTGTACATCTGCAAGTATACTGTACTGTAAGTAGGTAGGTAGGTTACCTGTAGGTCCAGTACGTACAGTGCTACGGTCAGGGTAGCAGAAGTCCACTCTGCATCGTGCAAGTATTTTTGGTGAGAGCGGTTGGGGTTCGTTTGCTTCCGTGTGCAGTGCTGTGTGATGGGGTGGTGTATGTATGTTTATGTGTGTGTGTGTGCGTGGGTGGGTGGGTACTGTGGTTTGGGTACTCGTGCCTTCTTTTTTCCTTTGTCACTTGCGTGGTGCTGTACTGTGCACTTTTTTATATACTTCCTTGTGCTCGTGTACCGGTAGTGTATTGCGCCGCGAGGTATGGTATGGTACTTGTACGGGAAGGCGAGGTGAGGTGCTGGGAGTTTTCGGGCCTTGTTTCTGTTTACTGTCCATCAGGGCGTTTGGGTGCACTGCCATGGTTTTTGGCGTACCGGTATGCCTGCCTGTTTGCCCGCTCCGTCAGTTTGCAATCAGCCTCCAAGTTTGCGTGGGGTGGATTGGTTTGGTCTGATTTGGTGGAGTCATGATACTGTATCATCACCGACACAACTACAATGGCATGATGTGGTACGAGTACAATACGAGTTATCAGCTCCCCCTCCTGTCCGATTCGATACCCAGCCGGCATGGTATTCCCTCCCTCCCTCTTTCCCATTCCTTTCCTTCCCGCACGAAACTCGTGTTCGCACCTCCGTCCTCCTTTTGTTACTTGTACCTTATCTGCCGTGATGCATCCCATCGTCACTCCCAACCCGTCCGATCCCTTTTCGTTACTCCTGGGAAAAAGAAAAAAAAATGCGCCCATCATTTTTGTACTCAATTTTTGTGTTGCGTTTTTATAATGTTTCCATCTTTTTTTGCTCGCCCTTGTCCGGTATACCACATGTATAAAAACCGTTGCGCCCAATTTGGGAAAATTCCCCACAAGAGCAGCGAGATGGAGCGTATGCCGTCTGCGGTGTATGTGTGGGTGTGCGTGGGTGCCCAGTTTCTATTCTTTAATTTTCAGTCTGCAATGTGGGATGTGATGGACAGGTTGCTGTAGGAAAGGATGGAGGGCCGGTGTTATTTTTTGATTGGTTTCCTTTTTTTAATTGCTGTTTTGGTCGACAAGGTAGAATCGGGGGGGGCGCGCAACCTCAGTTTGTTTATATATCGCTGCCCTCGATCTTGGGGTTTGCGCTGAGATCTGGGAAGTGTTGCGTTTGTGCGGTGGTACTGGGGCTTTTCAGTCCGCTTGTTTTTTTTAATTGATTGTTTACCCTGGAACAAGTACGGGTAAAATGAATGAGATGAGGGAGGGGCAGGAGGGGTAGAGGTTGGGTTGATTTAACGGTAACGAATCATGGGCGAGGATAAATTGGGTGTGTGGGTGCGTGATGGTGTGGTGTTAAGCGTTTCTCAAAACTGTTGGTGCTACTCGATATATCATCTCACGCCCTTTACTCACAAGTGATTCGACCATCAGATATGTGTGAAGTGGGGGGAGGGGGGGGGGAAGATGATAGAGGGCTGCTTACCTGTACCAATGTCTGATGGAGGATATCGTGGAGGAGAAGAGAGGGGGAAATAATGATGAAAAAGTAAACATTGATCTTGGATTGATATCAGAATGCCGTAGAATAGATATGATAATGAAAAAACGTGGGCCGCTGAGAATGGAGTGAGGATTGGAAGATTGTATTGGAACACATCGCTTGGATTGCTGGACATTCTTTTCGCTGGGTACCTCGTGGCGCCCCGTCAGTTTCACCCTCGCGGTTATCACTGGACTGATAAGCTTCACACTCCGTGCTGCCTCGCCCAATCCCGTTCCGCCATACTCGTATCTGCCCCTTATGCCCCCCACGGCCACCCCAGAGCCGCAGAAATAAGTAAATAAGAAAGCACGGGCCAAGTGGAACAGGACGAGTTAAAATCCTTTGGGGAAGTGTGTGGGTAAGGGGGGAAGGGGTAAGCTGGAGGAGTAGAAGCGTCTCTTCATCCGTCCGATTACGGGTGGTACCGCTTCGAGTGGTTTCCTAAATCCCCCTAAGGTAAGGGTCCAGGGTCCTCACGGAGCGGTAGGGGTAAGGGGGATGAAAGAGCTCTCCGGTCTCACCCTCACCTTGTACACCGGAAAAACTCCTCGCAGGGTTGACGAGCTGTAGGGGGATTGGCCTGTTATTTTGTTTTTAGAGATCGGGCGATGAAGTATAGATCGATCCGATGGGAGGCCCCTGGGACGTGGGTGGGGTTTCCATTCCATGCGAGGATTGGGATGCGAAACTGAGGCGATAAGAAGTTCTGCAAGAGTTTGCAGAAGGCTGTCCACCTTTTTGTCGGATGGAGGGGGGTGGGCTGGGGGGTTGTACTCGAGTAAATGGGGAGGGGGGGTGAGCGGCAGTTGGCCTACGGTATCTGATGGTGTGCTCGTTTTTCCCTGAATTTGGATAATTAGCTTGATGGAGGGTGGTGCCATGGGTGAGATGAGGTGAAGGATGTTGATGACCGAGCAACATGAGGCTCAACGTTAAGCTTTATGTCGTGCGTATACTCGAGTACTCGAGTACCGTAGCGCGGTCGCCTAGCTTCGGAGAGAAACCCTTACCCTAGGATATAGACGGCCGGGGGTGTGGCGCAGGACTCCACCCTGGAGGGGGAGAAGAGTCGGCGAGGGACAGTGGGGGGAATCCCAATCTAATAGGTAATGTATGATAGTGTACAATGGAATGCGAAAGATGGAGGATGTGGGAAAGGTGACCTTACTTAAATACATCGCCCTCCCAACGGGCCGTCTAGCCAGCGCGCTCACGATCCAATAAACCGCTTCGATTGATCGGAAAGAGGCCTGGCAGGGGGAGCACTATATAGTGCCGTGCAAGAGAGAGAATTCCTATACGGTGGCCCTCTTTATATTTCACGTTTTGCAGCCTTTGAGAGGAGCACCTACCCATAGCTGGTCCCATCGTGTGGGCTAGCCCCGTCGAACCTTATCAACCCTCCATCACCACCCGGACAGTCCCGCTAATGTCCCCCCTCCGATCTCAAGATGTTGACAAAGTTCTAACCCCCTGTCTGTGCAGTATATTCAGCACGAAAGAGGCCTAGTAAATCGTGAGTGGGCATTTCTAGTAGATGATAAGCCACTCTGCCTCCGTGAGGAATAGGGAGTACGGTGGTGCTTTGAATATGTGATTGCTTCAGACTCGTCGCCCAGCCACCAACTCCTCACGACACCATCTCACCTCCACACTCGAGGCCTTTATATGTTTGGTGGTGTGGTGGGGACCGTTTCAAGTCGGTTCGGCCCCACGGATACGGGACACGGGGAGCTGCACTCACCGACCGCTCTCTGAGAGCGTCAATGTACCACCGGCTCGGTCCGTAAGCATTCCCATCAGATAGGAAATAATTCTCCAAATCTTGGCCGTTCTGGATTAACGGTGCTGGAGCCGCCTGGGGGTTAGCCAGCCTAGGTTGGCATTATCGATGGAAACTACTGTACGATACCGTGACAGAGCGTGGAGAATACGGCATGACACCCTCCCTTCGGAATCATGTTGCAATCCGGGATGACACCTCCCAAAAGATTCCGTGAATATAGCCAATCATTCCTCCGAGCACTGATATGGCTCTCGGGAGCCTCCACCTTGGCTTCAGTCTCCTCATGGAAGGGTAACCAATCCTTCGCTCGCAGCGCCCGCAGAGGCCCTGACCCTTGATCAGCCGGGCTTATGCTAATCATGGACTCTCTCACCTTACCGTCCTAACGTCAACTGCCGATCTTGTTCTTAGGTCCCTAAATTCATGATGGAAAGGTAGGATGCATCTTTCCGGGTCTCCCGAAATCCTCGGAACGGACGCAAGACGATGACAGTGTTTACGGGGCTGTATCCAAGCTAAATTTCCGGGTTGATTCAAGCGCCATGAGCACGTCGCTGGCAACTAGAGACTCCTGCTCACCCTGTGAGTACTGTGCCGGTACTCGAGTACACCTCAACATCACTTATACAGTGAATGTCTCAATTTCTGCAACTTCTCCGTCAATACCAATCAGACTGGACACCGCTACAATGATCGGCTGATGGCATCTACGATCTATTATGTGTCGAACCTGCTGCTTCTGCTTTTACCCAAGTGCGCCCCCCGGGGTTGCGCACGCGGTTACATAGAACCCATCACCTTTTTACCGCACCGGTAAGCCTAGCCACCCAGCGTTCTGGCCCGGTGGGATGTGTTAAGGTATTTCTTGCAACGCATCTTCTTGGACGGATGGTGGCGCGGCCATCCCGTTGGGCTTTTATTTCTATTTTTCTCTCGGGATGGTCACGGGGGCTACGTTTTCCACCTGTGTCTGGGGTATCCAATGCCCAGTATGATGAGAAAATTGGCGAGAACGCACGACCGGCATGGAGTGAAATTAGGATCTTTTGGTTGTTGGATTGTCCCCCTTTATTTGCAGCTTACAGTATACCGGTACTGTGTCCACTGTATTGTAACAATGATACCATTTGAGTGCTGGTGCTCGGGGAAATTATTGTCTACCTTCTAGACAAACTCTTCAGGGACAGGAGTAAAATTCCAGACCAGATGTCAATCATGGCTCTAATCAGTGGAATTACCCGCCAATCATTTGTCCTCTTATCTGATGGATCAGGGGTCCAGCCAGAAAAGCTCCCCCTTTCTTGGCAACTCGCTCATCAAACCGCATCCATCATCACGACTTGCACTTTCCAACCTCCAATTCCGCGGGATCGTCTCGTACGGCACTACCGGTACTTTCGTTTCCACCTCACATCACCGATACTCCCTAAACCACCTCATTGCGTAGAACGGGATGCGGTTCCGGGCTTCCCTCTTCAACCTCGCACTCCTTTCCCTCCTCGCTTCGTCCTCAGCGGCCCCAAATCCAAATCCAAACCCTGCGCCCGCCGTCGACCCTGTAATGTCTGCCTCAATGGCCATTCCGTACACACCTCAGGCGGGTTCAACTCGTTATGCTCCTATGCAAACACAGCCCGGACGGAGCATCACAGCCACTGAAACCAAGATGCAGTATCCTACTAGTGCCTATACAATCTTTACCACCAAGGGCCCGGCGCCGAATGTTCTGGTAACGATTACCCAGGCGTGGGATTATACCCCCACCAGCAAGATCAACACGGTACGCCTCCATCCGGTTCCTGGCGCCAATCGATTGGCATGTTGGATTCTGCTAACACTCGCGGTTCCTTAGGCGGCACCACAACCGAGGCCGGAAGAGAACATGCAAAAGTTTTTGCAGAGGTGGAGAGATTAAAGGTGTTTTGATTGTTACGGTGATGGTAGAGCTGGGTCCGGTGGGGGTGGGGGTTTGAGGTATTGGGGTGGGGAGAGGGCGATTCTTCTGTCTAGTTTTGGGCTGGCCTCTGTGCGGTACAAGGTAGTGTCCCGTTCGCAAAGATCTCGTGGATGGAAAGGTGCCGTGGCAGGGTCTTGGTGGCAAGGGGAGTACTGGCACATTGGATTGCCAAATATTGCTGTCCAAATTAGGTACCGGGAGGGCAACAGACTTTCCCATCAGTTTGAGGTAATAGCAGCAGAAAAATTCGCCTGTACCATATTTATCATAGTACTCGAGTAGATCTCCGGGGGGGGTGGATAGAAATGAGGGTGCTGCTGAGGGCTCGCATCCACGGCACTGGCACCTTGGTGGCCGCTAAGGCAAACTCCGGATTGTTCTTAAGAAGAATAGCTACAAAATCATACCTGAATAGAGACATAAAAGTGTAGTTCAGGTAGGTATATGACCATGACTTAGTAAGGCTAAGGTTTTGCATGACTCAGGTTTGTGAGTTATAGGTATGTTACTTTTGCACCTGACTCACTTAAGAGTCATGGGATTTTATTTGACTTACACTTATGATGTCATTATTATAATTTGATTGGTTATTTGTTGAATGACTGATAGTTGTAAGCCAGTGTAACAACCCTATGTATAGAGTTATAATAACCTACATCTACATTCATACATGCAATCATGAGGTCAAGTGGTAGACTAGGTGTTACGGCCACCAGGATTGGAATAGTGTGGTTGCCACGCGGGATTTTCCTTTGTGTCAGATGGGTTGGGTGTCTCATAGTACCGGGTGGTTGGCTTGTGTGATGGAAACTGATGGAAGAAGAAGGACATGTTATGGCTGCACGTAACTAATAGAGGATTATGGATCATTGGAGTTTCTTTGTCTATATAAGGGGTATATATTAGCAAAAATAAATCCTGCATCAGACACAGAGGTGCCACATCCAGACACATAGTATCCTTCTCCTGTTTATGTCCTAGTGCTTATGCTAGGAAGTGCCATGTCCAGATTGCATTCTAAGCAAGCAAGGCCACCTAGTTACCATCCTGAAATTCCGAGTGATAAACACAACTGCCAGCTACTCTCCCTTTACCACATCTCTACCAGCTCCCCCTACCAGCTCC